TGCAGAAAGCTTCCATCAATTGTACGCAATATGTATTTTTGGTAGGCCTTTTTTTTTTTTTTTTTTTTTTCTCTAATAGTTGAGAATTGATTATAACTAGAATTCTTTACATCTGTTTCAGGGTGCAAATTCAAAATATATGTGATCACTCGCTAATCTTGCATACTATATATTCATCTTTAAAATAAAATAAAATAAAAATGGGAAACCAATTCTAGCCTTTCCCCAAAAAAATGATTTTTAGCCACAAAATTTATAAGTGTTGCTAATAAATACACTACAAAACAATTTCATGCCAAAAGCTAGTTTTTTTGACAAATTTTGATCTTAAAATGATAGTATTTTAATTTTTTTTTATAACTCAGTATCAAGCACTAATGATTGACTAATTCAGGAAATTAATCCCACCGTTCACTTACAATGAGTCCAATTAAAATCAAAATAAAATTTCGTACAAACTGACCCTAATTATTTAAGGCTAAGAGATTTTAAACGTGAGATTGTTTTACAAAGAGAAAAGTTAGGAATCATGAAAAAAAATTTATGAAAATGATCATGAAAGATTTATGATCTTTAGATTACCTTGATTAGTGTGTAGTGTTTTACTCTAAATGTAATTCAAGAGTCACAAAGATTTCATAATTATTTTCATAAAAGATTTTTCATAATACTTACCATTGCTGTTTACAAATATCTTAGGCATTTCTTTACAGCTGAGTGATTAGTGTTTTTCCAGACATTTTACTGTGCCATGCTCACCACATGCAATGCATGATGAAAAGTTTTATTCCAATTTGATTTGGTTCACTTTTTTACAATTGATGATGATGATGATGATGATGATTGATCCTTTTGCATGCATGCAACGTCAAAATAGAGAAAAATTTCCCATTCCCATTGGTCTCTTGAATTATTGGTTAGGCAAGAACATGTGTGTGATTTGGATCAATCACAAATAGGCAAGCCTAGTTGTGGTTGCGTCACTCTTTGCCTCCTTTGTGATTAGGTTAATATCACATCAATCACTGGGTTGTCTCTCTCTTTTATAGGCACTCATTATTCATAATTGCTTAAATTCAGGATTACAAAATAATTATAAGTAAGTCATAAATTTTATAAATATTAATAGATAAAATTATAATTTTTTTCGTAAATATGTAATGACTTTCTCAGACTAGCTCTCTCTGATGGGTAGTTTTCACTTAAATTTATGCATTAAGTAAAATTGTCTATTCCATTTTAAAAGTGGGTGATTATCTTATTAATTTCGCTTTTGATAATTAAATGATTCTTACTTTTAACAGCTTCTGTGATGGAGTCAAGATTTTAATTCATGAAACATTATTGAGATGAAATCCAAGTAAAATCTATCACAATTTCTCTAAACTCAATTTTCACTTCATGGTAAGGTGAATAAATGTTAGATGATGCCAAACTTTTATGTTAAAGTTACTGTCGAATTAACAGATAATTTTTCATTGATTTTTTTGTATTTTTATTTTTAATTAGATTTTCTACTTTTATTTTTAAACATGATGTTTGTCAATTTAAAATGAGATTACATGCATGCCTTAAAAAATAATGAAAACGAAATTACATTAAGATGCACACACGAGGAGATAAAGTACATAAAATTTAGAATAAATTACAAATACATCTCTTAAAATTTACTTAGAATACAAATAGCCTATATAATTTTAAAAATTACATTTCACCTTTTAAAAATTATAATTATGTAATAAATGACTATTTTTATTAATTAACCATTAAGTCAATTACCAGTTTTAATATGTGAGCCATATATTTCAATTAATAATCATGATAATTACGTTGTTGTATTGGATAGAAGTTAAAAAACTTTATTTTTTCTGTTAACTTTGTTAAATAACAAATTTTAATAAGGGGAAATTTATAATTTTCAGAACCATAAAAGGCAATCTGTATTTTAAACAAATTACAAGAAGTGTATTTATAATTTATCCTAAAATTTATAAGAAAAGATATTAGCAAATTAAATATTAAAATGATAAATTAAGAAAAATACGTTTTAAAAAAAAAAGAGGCATATTCAAAACTTGAAAAGAATAAATTGAAAAATATTTTTTAAATGTTTCAAAAATTGAAGAGGGGCACGTGCAGATGAGACCCAATGCGTCCCCAACATTGTCTGTTTATGACCTTATAGCCCAATCTTTTCTACCCTCTCTCTCTTCAATACAGGAAAGTTCAGTTGTAATTGCTAGTGTGATGTGAAAAAGTTGAAGAAAATGAAATTATACTTTAATTAAAAAAAATTCATAGTTTGAAGCCCTCGAGTCCAGGACAAAGAAAATATACCCCAGTGCTCAACTACAACAAAGCATAGTACAATTGTTATTGCTCCTTTGAGAATTGGTTATTGTTATTTTTTTATTTTTTATAAAAAAAATATAAAAATATAAAAAAAAATGTAAAAAAAATATAAAAAATAACCCGACAATTTACAATAATTTTTAAAATTTTTAATTAAAATATCTTATTAACAAACGAGGCATTTCAAAGTTACAATCACTTTGACATGTTCATGCAATTTTTTTTGAAAATGAAACAACATAGCCTACATAACTGACTCAATGCATTTTTTGTCACATTGTTTGCCTAAATAATTTCCACAACCAAACCAACTACATAGTTCTTCCATAAAGCATGTCGTGTCTTGCCTAAGACTAAACATAATTAAAGAGGAGAATATTTCCTTCAGTCTAGATTTTAGATTGGAGGGCACTGTTTGGGCCGTGAGGTTTATCATGAGTCTAATTTTAATAATCTAAACCATTTATTTTATGGGATATTTCCTATATTTCATCCATACAAAAAATTTGGTTGATCCGATAATTTTAACTTATTCAATTTTTTACTAAAAAAATAGACAATTGTGTTTTTAAAAATAAACCATATATTTTTTTAACCTTAAACGCAATAAATTGAACAAGTTACAGTTATCAAATCGGCCTAATTTTTTTTGTGAACGAAATACACGAAGTGCCCTACAAAATGAATAGTTCAAATCATCGAAACGGGGCCTGTCGTGGGCTCCATGGGCCCAAACAGCGCTCTCCAATCTAAAATCTGGACTGGAGGAGATCCTCCTAATTAAAGTGGACATTTTTTACGAAATGTTTTCCATAATTAATCCTAAGAAATACTAAAATTCTATTATTTTAAGCTCATAAATTAATTATGGCGAGAGTTAAGACCCTATACAATGAAAAATTATTAAGTGGTTCCAGATTAGTATGTGGTGGCCTAGTTTACATGGTGCTCAGAATAATGGAAAATTGCAATCCATTACATGGGGGGCCTTGTTTGAGAAGTAAAAATTTTAGTTAAAAAGTCATAATAAATTATCAAATTATTCTTTTTACTTTTTTTACATGTCTTTTTATAAATTTAAAAAAAAAATCAAAATGCCACTAAAAGAAATCAATTCTTAAACGAGCTCTAAATAAATTATCTTTTGTTTCTCAACTGCCTACCAAAGGTGAGTCCCAATATCCCATCTGGCTGTAACCCTGTAACATTTTTTGCTATGTAATTTAGTTTGAACCACCATGTAAACAATGCCATTGAGTGCAATAAATTAAAAGTTATCTATCTTATCACATCATTTTGCGTCAAATTATGAGAATTTTTTTTAAGAATGTTGAACATTTTTCCCTTTTTTTTTTCTTTTTTTTTTTTTTTGGATTTGAAGGCAGACAGATGACCCAGATGCTAATGGGCTTCAATACATGCACTTCAAAACCATTATTGGTTTTTTGTTTAATTCAAATAAAAAGCTACAATTTAAAATTGACTTTCTTGCTTGGGACTGAGACTTATTAAAGAGTTGGGCCAAATTGAAGTAGTTAATAGAGCTGTAATAGAGAAACTAGGTGAGATAGTTCAATTAGAGACCCAAACAAAGTACAGCCCATAAATAAACCATTTATGCATTTGCAAAGTCCAAAGCTTCAATAAGAATAATCAAAATTAGAATTTAAAGCATTTCTCATATACCTTTTTCCAAAAATCAACTTTCTCAATTGTTTTTGCCTTACAAGATTAAGCAAATATTAAAACACTCTTTGCTAAAGATTTCCTAAATTTTTTAAATATAAAGGGAAAAAAAAAATTCATAAACAACTCTAATAAACAATTTTATGACCTCAATGTGAAATTGACTAATTGATACACACATCATGTCAAAGAAATATGAACAATCAAATGAATAAAATGAGTCACTCCAAAATCGACACGTGAGGCTGTTTGGTATAATTTTTATTTTAGTTAAAAATTGATAATTAAAAAGTAAAAGTTAAAAACACCCTTTCCTTGGCTTCTAAGTAATCATGTTTTTTTTTTCAACTTATTTAAGTTTTTTTCTGCCTCATAAGCTATAAGCAAAAATTGCATCAAACACACACAGATTTTCAAAATAATAAAAAATATATATACAAAAATTATAAGTAACTCCAACAGATTGGACCAAAAATAGACTAGTATCTCAAGTAAATAAAAAAATGAAGCTAGAAACCAGACTATGAACTTTTAAAATATTCTCTATAAACAAAAGAAGACTTTACAGTTAATAGATTTCTCATAACCTTAAATTAGTTTAATAGCCCAAAGAATGAATCTCAACTCCTTTTCATAAGGCAATGTTGCTTTAACTTTTTAAAGCTTTGTTCTAGGGCCATGCATTGATGCAGTGCATATTTTTTTATATAATATTATAGAGCCATGCTCTATAAACAAAAGAAGACTTTACAGTTAATAGATTTCTCATAACCTTAAATTAGTTTAATAGCCCAAAGAATGAATCTCAACTCCTTTTCATAAGGCAATGTTGCTTTAACTTTTTAAAGCTTTGTTCTAGGGCCATGCATTGATGCAGTGCATATTTTTTATATAATATTATAGAGCCATGAACAAAGCTGCACACACACAAACACACTCAAAGCACAAGGGTTTTTTTTTTTCCTTTCTTTTTTTGTAAGATTTAATTACTATGCTAAAAGATATGACATGCTAAATTTTAACAGTTCAACAATAGAGGGGCAAAAAGAAGAAAACAACTCAAAGGAGTGTTGTGCTGTGAAAACCAACATATTCATGTATACTGCTTAGTTGGTGTCTCAAAGGGCAAAAAAGGTAAAGTAAATAGAAAGTTGCAACACCCACAATGAGCTATTTTTGGGGAAAATTACACTGATATCATAATATTACCTATAAAATTTGATCTCTCCAGCCCAGAAAAAACTACACTGATGGGAAGAACTTGTTGAGATTGAAGGGCAGTGAATAGAATTCTTCACTCCTTGTGTCAGTTTTGAACGACCGGAACCTGTCCCACCAGTGCATGCCCCTGTCCTTCCTTGTGTTCTCTGTCCGATGCAACGTGATGTCTAGGAATAGTGCCAACAAGCCAGCAACAAACGGCTCCGATGAAAAAGGCACGTTAATCATATCATTGAACTGTCAAAATAACAAGGCATGATATCAAGGAAGTAGCATCATTGAAGGTAGGTAGGCTGCAAACAAGCCGATTCAAGCTTGGTTTGCTAAGAATTACTCAAGCTCTAGCTCGGCTCGTCAAGCATTTGAGAAACTTGAGCTCAGCTTAGTCAACTCAATTACATATATGAGCCAAGCTCATAATGAAAAATTAAACTTAAATTAAAAAAAGAGAAAATTATGAGTAAAATATAAAACAATGCTTATATTATAACAAATTTCATGAATCAAATATGTAAATTTACACAAACACCAAACACAAATAGAAAAATAAAATAAATTAGTAAACATATATTTGATATATTATTAAAAATAAATATTAATTCATATTCTTTGTGCTCACAAGCCATATGGCTCGATTACTAAACGAGGTTAAAAACCATTTAGTAAACAAACTAACCTCAAATAAGTTTTAAATGAGTCATGCCAAAGTTGCTCATGAACAGCTCAGTTTATTTGAAGCCCTAAGTAGAAATATAGGTTTAGGGGAAATACCCATCTTGCCCTAGTGTGGACAGGTCCGTAACTGTGGCTTGCGGTGTACTCGTTGAAATACTGCGGTATTGACAAGCCCAAGTAAAATGAGAATCCCACTATGAACTTTGTTCTGAAGCTGTTTAAATTGCAGAACTGAAGGAAACTGAGACCTCCAGCGCCTGTCCAAGCATAATTTTAAAGAATGAAAAACTATAGTACTTTGAATAGATTAATAATTTAAAAAAAGTAAAAAATGAAAATAAAAATAAAAAGGGTCTCGTAATACAAACCTATGTAAGCAAAGAAAATACAGTACAAAGCTGCAACAATTGGCGCTGGAATTGAAGCGAAAATGGCTCCAAATTTCCCTGAGAAAGCCATATATGTTTAACAAATATAACTCAAATTTTACGCATCAGCCAGTGCCTAGAAAGTAAATATGTTACCGAGTATGGAAAAGAATATCATGAATCCAGCAGATATCTGCACGACTCTTCGGCTGCCAACACGTGTCAATGCAAGTAAACCAGCATTTTCACTGTCAAGAAAACATGCAACGGTCTCAGAGAAGGAAAAGGAAATTTGCTACTTAATTGACAGAAGCGATTTTCTAAGTGTGGGGGTTTTCTGCAAAGAGTCTTACACGGAGACTGATGATCCATTCCCGGTTCCAAATAGTCCAGAGAACAATATGCCCACTCCCTTAGACCAAGAAAAGTGAAAACACGAAAACAAAGTAAATTAGAACCTAAAGAAGGTTAACAATTACCTATTGTTGTTATTAAAAAAAGGTAACATCTTATTGGTGTGAAAATTTGACAAATTGAATAAGAATCTGCTTTTAATGCTTCAATATCAGGTAATAAACTTTTTCCCCAAGTGATTGGGACAAAGGTTTGTTGTGTTGAGTCAACTTTTAGGTTATAAACCTTTTTCTTTAACTCTCTTTCCCCTTTAAGTAAATAACGTTGTCTTAATAAGGAAAAAATGGAGCACAAGCAATCATTAGGCCATCATTACCTGCCAACCGACCCCACGGCTAAGAATGGATGGTGGCAAAGGAGTTGCACTAGAATACCTTGCCACGGCGATGAAGGCACCAGTAGACTGTGAACAATTGAAATTATGTAAGAAAAGGTAACTTCATGATCACACATCGTTGAAATCAATCACCCCATATGAGAATTTTACTACAGAAAAAGTATCTAAACAACGAAATCTAATCTATTTATAGAATGCCTAAGAACGAATTTTGTTTTTCCTTTTTTAAACTGAGAAGGAGATGAACAGAGATAGCAATAAAATAAGAAAAACATGCCGGCGTATACATGACAAAGACATCACAGCAATGTTCCTGCTTCACAAGCCCAAAAGACCTTTGATAAAAGATCTCATGCACATAATTGGGCTTAACTCTTCTCTCTGATGGACAAAATGGAGAAGTAGATGGAATAAAGAATGAAAACGGCAATAGAAAAGGACACAAGAAGACGAAGTTAGGAGAAACAATCCAAACATTCAATAATGCGTTCGGGCTTTAGTTCATAAGCACAAGAGTACGAGTCAACAAACCTCTACAAGAGCAACAAACGAAGTAGCCATCATAGCAAACGCTTCACCAGCATCAAACGTTGGAGCTCCCCATTGAAATGGATACGGGACTCTTATCCTACAACCAACATGCACTACAAATGTAAGAGTTATGAACCAAAAAAGACCCGTCACCATGTCCTCCCATCCTTTTTTTCCCATTTAACCTGGAATTTTTAAATTAACATGTGTACCAGAACTTGTGACTACATAATACATCATAATGGGTTAAAGACAACAATTTGGCTTACCATGGAGCAGCACCTATAAGTCCAGAACGATCTGTTCGGCAGCTTATCTGAGTCTTTGATGGTCTGTTCTTATATGCACCGCCCACAGTAAGTAGGTATGCATAGATCCACACAATGACAACAGAGAATATAACGGAAAAGCGAACAAAGATATGACTCTTTGCGCCCAATAAATGAGGTACATACTGTACAAAAAACAACGAGACAAGAGTGTTTGAGTTGAGTTAAAATATCAACAATCATTTAAAGCTTGCTGATGATTTACAAAACAACAAATTAAAATTAAGGCAATCACCTGTGAAAAAATCACTAGAAAGATAAGCTGGGGCAGTCCAATTTCCACACATTTAGAGACCTACACATTAAATGCAAAAATCAATAACCAACCATGACAAGCACACACTAATGAAGAAAATGTTACAGTAATTTCTATGCACAAAACTTGCTTCATTGAAAACGAACCACATAAATACATACCAGAGGAAATCCAAACTCATAGAGCCCAAAGCCAGTCAGAGCAACCAAAGGAACAGCAGATAGTGGACTCAAGAACCTAAAAGCATTTAAAAAATATAAATTAACAGACAAAATTACAAAAATATTACAAGAAACCATGATGACAATAGACTCCATAAGTAGATTTTCACTGTTTTTTGGTTCAGTTCATCTATCAAGTTGTAATAATCAAGCAAATCACTAGAATTGTTTTATTAGCAAGTTTTCAACCAACCTTGCAATGTTGCGCCAAAGGCCACTAAAGCCGATGACAATCTGGAGAGTGGAGGCAACAATAAGGGCCCCCTGGATACCTCGCATTATCTTCTCAAATTTCTGCAAAAGCATCACAGAAAAGAGATCAAATTTACATAAATAAAATAGATATGCAGTCGTTGGAAGTTGGTGAGGTTCATCAAGCAACCTCCACGGGATTTAAAATGTCATTGTATCGACCAGCCATGACAATTGAAAGTGTTGTGGGCACAAAGGTGTAAGACCCTCCAATCACAGCAGGTAATCGGGTTCCAAACAATGTCTGAGTCAATGTGTTCAAACCAGCCACAAACAGCAGTGTCTGAATCATCTTTGCTTTTTCATGCTGAAACGACAACAATCGATTACCAATTAGATTGACGAAGAGCTACGTGTTTGAACAGAAACCCATTATAAGTATCGAGTATTGCTTGCAAAATTGTTATTCACATTGTCAAAAGTCTTACATTTCCTCCTCCCATCTGGGAAACAAGAGTGGAGGGAATCAGAACTGTTGTGCCTAGCATCACAAGGTAGTGCTGGAACCCAAGTAGTACAGCCTCAGCTGCATTTAGAAACAAAACCACAGTTTAGGACAACCATATCAAATTTATCAATTGCGCTATGAACATAAAAAAAAAAATTATGGAATGAAACACAGACGTGAAATAAATGGCGGGTCGTATATGTGGGATCCACGTGTGTGCGACCCACCTTCAAAAATCATCTGTGCATTACTCTAAATTTGTTGATGAAAGACAATCCAGGTCTAAGAAAGAAAATTCAAGGAAATCAAAAATATGTTGAATGTAATGAACAGGGTTCTATATATAACCAAGACAAGATGAATTTTCTACATGAAGAGAAATAAAGATAAATAGTTTGGATAAAGTTCTGTAGATATGTAATATATATATATATACATGCATATGTCAATAAAACAGGGAAATGAACAGGAGCCAAAACTAAGGGTTTTGTGGATCAATTCAAATTATATTCATACATTGATATATAAAGCAGTGTTTTCAAAAAAGGGATGTGTAGATATATGCGTGTGTGTGTATCTACAATTCTACATAGACATACATATACGCATATATGTGAAAATAGAGGGAGAGAGAGAGAAGAGAAAAGAGCAGAATGTGAGAAACTCACGCCAAGGAGGAGGACTGGTAATGCAGTAAGAAATGTTGGGAAGCTGATCTTTTACCGGATGTGGCTGCAACTCATCCTGCTTTGGCGGCGGCGCAGCCCCTCCTCCTCCTCCACCTCCTGCCATCACTCTTCTCTGTCCTCCCCTGCTTCTCCTTACTTTCTCACTCCTGAATCTCAAATAAAATAGTACTAGTTACAATACCCAAATCTCCACACAAAACCCAAATCCCAAATCTCCCAAATAAATTAAGTATTAAATAAAAAAAATAAACTTATCACTAAAACCCAGAAATCTCACTCCCCAAAAACAATTCTCACCACCCAAACATACCCACCTGAGTAAATCCTAGTCAAAACATATCTACCATATATATATATATATATATATGGACTTAAAAACAATAGAGAACCAAAAGGTTTAGTAAAACTTGACTAGAAAAAGCAATGAAAGAGAGAGGCCATGAGGTGGGAAATGAGTTAAAACCCAAAACCCACTTGAAGAAACTTAAGAAGAGGCATGAAAGCGAGTGTGTGAGTGTGAAAAGAAAAGAAAAGAAAAGAAAAGAAAAAACAGGAAAGAAAGAAATAAAGAGAAAAAGCAAAATACGAAGCAAAAAGGTAAGAAAGAAACCAAAATACGACCTCTCTGGAGTCTCTGTAATCTGTGCCTATCGATGGCCTTTGGAAAGGGAATCTCTTTTACTTATATATTGTTGAATGAAATTAAATTTTTGGGTCGGTTTTGTTTTGGGTCTCCTCCCTCTACAGCTTTTTCTTCTCTCAAGGTAATAAAGTTTAGAGATTGTTTGAGATTTTTTAAAATAAGGCCTCGTTTGGGAATATAAGTTTTTAGTAATTTTTTAATTTTTTCGTTAAAATATTATGTAAAAAAAAGTTGGTATATTTAGGATAATTTTTTGAATTTTTACGAAAAGATATGTAAAAAGTAGAGAGAAAATAGAATCTTTGACTTTTTTGTATGAGTTGTTGGCTTTTTTATTTTTTTAGTAACTTTTTGACTTTTTGACTAAAAAAGTCATTTGCCAAACGAGGCCTAAGTATATTTTTTGTCTTTTTAAATTAAAAAATTAAGAAAAAAATATGATTGTTTAGATTAATTTTTTGAATTTTTATAAAAAATATATATATTAAAAAATTATATAAATTAATGTATAAGAGAAGGCAGGGAGAGTAACAGTAAGGCCAACCGTCTTGCGCAGAGGCATTTCACATAAGAAATGGTTGTCTCATTTGCGGGCATTGCATTGGATTGTGAAGTTCGGCCCCTGGGGGCCCACCACGAGTCCCTTTTTGTTAATCGAAACCGTCAATGTGCAGAACTTGTTGAGTATTATATACTTATAAAAAATTACATTGATCGGATATCGATAGCTATCTGATCGGATTAGTTTTTTTCAACTGTTAACTATAACACCATCCATTTTTTTATACAAAATTGATTTGATCATATAGTTAGCGATATCTGATCAACGTAATTTTTTATAGGCATATAGTACTCGACGAGTTCTACACGGTTCAGATTATCAAAACGGGATCCGTGATGACCCCCCACGGGCCGAATAGCAGCATGTTTTTTGTGCAATATGGCTGTACAATTTTTCAAAAAAATTAGCTTCACCTATGGGACATGAGACGAGTTTTATTATTTTTTGTGTAAAATTAATTTTTTATTATTTTTTTTGGTGAATAGTGATAATTTTTTAATTTTTTTTATAACTTTTTGAATTTTTAAATTATTTTGAAGATGCCAAACCTGACCTAAAGCACTGTCACCTTTTCCAATCCCTTTATGAGAGAGTAATGCTAAGGATTTAAATATTTTATACAGGCGTGAGACATATGTAATATAAATTTTAGGATGAATTATATTAATAGTTCCTATAATTTGGGATTTGTGTCACTGTAGTCTCTGACTTTTTAATTGTGACACATTTGACCTTGAATTTTGAATCTTGTTCTAAATAAGGACAATTGAAGATATCATTAGATTTTTCAAGGGTAAAATTGTCAATTTTATAAAATATAAACTAATTGGATAAAAATAAATGTCAAACAAATATTTTTGAATTTTTAAAAATTATTTCTACCCACTAAAAATAAAATTATGTAAAATTGATAAATCTTTTAGACATTTATTTTTTTAATCAAATTAATTTTTATTATGTGTTTGGATGATGATCATGAAAAATTAATTTTTAAAAATTAATCATGTAATTTTTATTAATTTTTATCAATTTTACATAATTTTATCATTGGTGGATAAAAATAATTTTAAAAAAATTAAAAATATTTTTTTGATATTTATTTTTGTCAAATTAGATCATATTTTATTAAATTGACGATTTTGCCCTTGAAATTAAATAATGGTATCTTCAATTGTTCTTATTTGGAACAAGATTCAAAATTCTGGGTCAAATGTGTCACAATTGAAAAGTCAGGGATCAAAGTGACACGAGTCTCAAACTATAGGGATTGTTAGTGTAATTTGTCCTAGATTTTATATTTATGTGAGATATTTAGTAGAATATTTAAGATTTGTAGTATTAAAATGTTATGAATTTCAAATTTTTTATCAAATCTTTCATATGGGTGTGGGACCCACTCCCACACCCACATGTGAGATGCTTGGTAAAATATTTAGTAAATTATTTGGAATTCTTACCCTTACTCATTTCTTTACTCCTATGCACAATATTGCACCCCGTATGTAATTTTACATAACATTACGTAAATTTTTATAAATTTATGTATAAATAATTTTATAAAAATATATAAATTAACATAAATTTATGAAAACTTAAAGTGTTTATATAAATTTATATTTAATTTATGTAATTTTATATAGAATTTCATACGATGTGCATTGTATACTGAAAATTTTTCTTAAAAGAAAATAAGAAAGTAAAAGTTATAAAATTTTTATTTTTATTATTGTCATTTTTATTTTTATTTTTTGTCCGATTCACAAATCACTAAAATAAATTATCGTCTAAACACAAAATGAAAAAAAAGTATAATATGAGTGTCGCGATATTGGCACAATACTGATTCTTTCATTGTATATTTCAAATGTTGCATTATTTTTTCGTTGTGTCGCGGTCTGGTTGTATTCGAAGGTAATATTTCATGTAATTGAATTTCCTTGAATTTTATACTTGATTTTTTTAATTGTAATTATAAAAATATACAAATATATCTGCGTGGATATGTAAAAAGTTTTACTTTATATACATGAACAAAAAAAAAAAAGAGCATATGCACCTCTACTTTAACGACTTACAGCTCAAAAACGAGAAAAATAATTTTGGTTTCATTTTTTTGAAAACAATTTTCAAAAAATTCTATTTTTTTATTTTTTGTATTTTTTTGTTTTTACTGAATTTTTTTAATATTTTCAGCAATTTTTTTAATTTTAAGACACATTTAACATAAATACACATAAAAAATATAATTTTTGTGAAAAAATCTTTTAAAAATTCAATAAAAACAAAAAAAACAAAAATTAGTATATTTTTCATATTTTTATGTATTTGTTAATTTTTTGAAATATTTTTTCACAAATTTTTTACTTTTTAGATACATCTAAGTAAGGTGCATCTAAAAAAATAAAAAAAATATGATTAAAACTTAAAAAATATTCATTAAAAACAAAAAAAAACACGAAAAATAAAGAACTCAATCCAGAAAACTCAAACCAAACATACTGATTAATAGTTGCTTCATATGTCATTATTAAAATTCATGTGTTTTTTTATTTTTAATGTAACTATAATAATTTACAAATCTTTATGCAGAGATGCATGAAAATTTTACTATACACGCCTTAAAAAAAACATAGCGTATGTAACCTCCACTTTAGCGACTTAGGCCATCTCCAACCGTTCACTAAATCTAACTTCAAATTCAAATTTGATGAAAAAAAGTTACTTTTTGTGCTCCAACGGTTGCACCAAAATAGTATCAAATTGAGAAAACATCAGACGTTTCACTAAACTGAGGATGACTTGCTCCTTTCACCAATTCACTATGCATAGCCGTTATTGTGAAAATTTTACACTACGGGGTCGACCATCTGGTTGACTGCCTTAGTATTTTTTCAAGCAACAAAAATGAAGGCAAAAATTGAAAATTTGCTCTTACCGGTCAACCTCCCGGACGACCCTCTCTGTTTGATGCACGCTACAGTGAACGTTTGGAGCTGTTGGTATCAGAATGAGAAAATTGACTTTTTTTTACTCAAATTTAATGAAAATTTTGTTCAACCGTTAAAGATGCTCTTACAGTTCAAAAATGGGAAAACGGTTTTAATAGCTCCTTCTTATCTCATTACTAATCCATTTATACTGCAAGCAAGCATTTTACTTGGCAGCACACCAAAAACCACTAGAGGATCCTCTTTGTATGTCAATGAAAATATCAATGCTTACGTTCCACAATAAACTTTCTTCATTGTTTACCTTGAACGCGGATTAAAATTCCAAAACTAATAAAAAGTGTAACTAATAACAGTCACGTCAAGTTGGATATAATCGCAACTAAAATTATTTTTAGACAAAATTAAATATCACTTTGGTCATGATTAAAGTTATTTACTATACATAGCATAGGCACTTCTACTTTTAGTCATTAACTTTTAAAAAATAAATAATTTACTTAGAGCTCAAAAACATGAATAACGGTTTTAATAGTTACTCAATTCCTTATTACTAGTTTATTTATAACAAGCCTTTTAGGTGGCTAACATACAAAAAAAAATACTAGATAGACATCTATGTGTCGTGTTTTATGAAAGCCGAAAGGAAAAGGCAAAAAATCTAAAACTAGTAAAAGGTGCAATTGATAATAATCGCATTTGATTGGATTATAACTAATATTGTTTTGAAACAAAATTGAATAGCACTTTAATCATAATCAAAGTTATAACTGACGTCATTTTGGAACCTAATAAAATACCATAACATGGTGTAATTAAATTTTAATTTAACAATTTATTAAATCCTTGCCACAATGATCCATAACTAAACACTAACACGACTTATGTATACATACCGTAAATGTTAATTTAGAACGTGACATTTTCATTAGTATGTCAATAGATAGAGAACCAACCATATAAAATATAAGTACGAGCAATCTGAGTAGACTAATATCATCATGGTATGTATAAACATAAATGTTATTAATTTGGTGGTTGATTATGTAATTAATTTTGTGTCTAATCTTGTTGCATTTTAATCTCTAGCATGATCTATTTACATGTGGTAAGTTTTTAGCTTAGGAAATGTCATTTTCATCCCCATGTCCAAGTAATCACTGGAAACAGAGAAAAAATTCAATGCTATTTGTAGCATATCCTTATATACTGACTGAGATTTTTACAGTGATTATTAAAATTAAGTTAAAGAGAGTGGAAAAGAAAAAGAAAAGAAAAAAAAGTTTGTCCTTTGCTTTCTTGGAAGACAATTCAGTTGTAAAATTTCAGAGTTAATTATATGAGAAATTATATTGTGCAGGTTTTTGTGTATGATTGCAGAGCTTTTGACTGATTAGTACTTTTCTTTTGCAGAAATGCCAAACGTGTACACAAACCCAAGTTCTGT